TTAATTTAATTTAATTTAATTTAATTTAATTTAATTTAATTTAATTTAATTTAATTTAAAACCGTTCTTGTGCTACTGTTAAAGGAAACGCAAAGCCACGCCAAGGGGTGCTATGGGGGCCTCCAGGTGTTTGGGGTGATAATGTTGAAATCCAAGGGACATTGTTGGGTCCAGGGGCAGGAGGGGGGAGTCTTCTCTGGTCCGTCCCCATGGGACGACGTGCTAGAATATGCCTGTCCCCAGAGGCGTTCACCCCTTTTCTGACCCTTCCCTCCTTGCCCTAGAAGCAGCTCTCCTCCCCCTGACACCCGCCCGGGCCGAGACGGGGCCTGGCAGCCTGGGAGCGCCCAGCCCCTCGCCTGAGTCTTCGGAGCAGGCCGTGCCCCGCTTCCCGGCGGAGGGCTTGGTACACGTGGACGGCCAGAGGGCTGCCCTCGGGGGAGCGCTGGAGGAGCCGGCGGAGCCTGGAAGAGACTTCGGAAATTTCACCACCATCATTGTCCAGGAAGGGGTCCTTCCGGGTGAAGCCCCGTACGTGTGCCCCGACTGCGGGAGGAGCTTCTTGTACGAGGAGCAGTGCGCCTTGCACCAGCAGTCCCATCCCCAGGCCTCCCCAGATCCCGGGGGCAGCCCCCCGCAAGCCCCCCAGCCGGGGCTCCGGGCTTATACCTGCCCAGAGTGCGGGCGTTGGTTCCCCCACCAGGCCAGCCTGAGCAAGCACCGCCTCTGGCACACGGGCGACCGGCCGCACACGTGCACCGAGTGCCAGAAGAGTTTCCGCCTGAAGATCAACCTCCACTTGCACGAGCGGACCCACGCGGCCGGCAGGAAAGCAGGGTCCTACATCTGCGGGCAATGCGGCCGGAGCTTCAACCACCACTCCAATTTCCTGCGGCACCAGATGATCCACACAGGGGAGCGGCCCTACGCCTGCGGCGAGTGCGGGAAGACCTTCATCCGGAAGGAGCATCTCGCCACCCACGGGCGCCTGCACACGGGAGAGCGCCCCTACCAGTGCCCGCTCTGCCAGAAGAGCTTCACCCGCAAGCAGCATCTGGTGGGACACCAGCGCCTGCACGAGGGGGAGGCGCTCTGGCTGGAGGATCGCCCAACCCCGAGGGACGTGCTTGGCCCGCGGGGGGGACCCGGGCCCTGGGCAGAAGCCGCCGAGCCCGGGCTCCGGGAAGAGACGTTTCCCCCTTAACTGCGCAGCCGCCTCGTTGCAGACCACGAGGGAGAACCAGAAGGGGGGCGCTGGCCAGGAAGCGGGGTGTGGGCAGCCATCTTGAACCAACTGCAGGGCCGTCATCAGTGACGTCCTTGGTCTCCACAGCTGCGGGCCGAGGGCACAATCTGGGGCTTAAGACCCATTGCAACATCCTACCTGGACTGATTCCTGAACCAATCTATAGGGTCTTTGCTGGGGCCAAGGAGCAGGATGGGTAAAAAAAGTCAAGAAGGCTTCCGATTGCATGACCATGACTTTTTTGACCCCCTTGCGGATGCTCCGGCAAGGGGGTTATTCGGATGCTGTGGCCAACTCTTGGGGGTAAAGTTTTTGTTCTTCGTTTTAATGCCAGCCTCAGAACTTCCTCTGTGGCGAAGTTGCGATCCATTTAACCAGGAGCTATAGAATAAGCCGCAAATATCTGGGTTCCCCGAAATAAGCAGCCTTCCCTGGCTTAGCTGGACGTGTGAAGGAGGCTGGCCTGTAAGAGGTGCCAGGTGGCAGTGGGTGATCTGCGCCATTTGCAGCCAGTTTCCTCCTCCTCTTCAGAGGCAAGGTGGGAAGTCTGTGGGCTGTTGGGTCCGACTGCAAAGGAGAGTAGGGGGCTGCTCGTGCAGGGCAGTAAAACCAAGCAAGAGATGCAGGAGTGCAAGATGACGTATGGAACGAAACACCCAGTGAGCGCAATGGAGGTCAAAGTGGTTATAATGCCAGCCCCAGCAAAGCAGCAGGGAATGGCTGCAACCAGGGGCATCGTGTGTGTGTGTGTGTGTGTGTGTGTGTGTGTGTGTGTCACAAAAGTCAAGGTGGTGGCTGTGACAGTACAAGCAAAACTGCCATTTGATTTTTTTTCTCCTCCCCCAACACCCTTCTTCAGAAACTGTCTAAAGAGAAGGGTGACAGTGGAACACGGTGCCAGGGAAGGGAGGATATGAAGGCGGGTCAGGGGGAAATGTTCTTTAGAGGCATCTGGGTCAGTTCCAGACCTTGAGGACCAGCCCCTTGAATTGACCCTGGGAAAAAAACGGAGCACTGTGCTTCAGAGAATTGTTGACAACAGGCTGGCATTAGTGGATGAGTGGAAATGCTGAGACTTTTGTACACCACCCCAAGAAAGGCACTGCCTCTGCCCAGTCTCCTGGTATTTTTATTCATTGCTATGTTATCATTTGCAACGTGAGAAAACCTGGAAAAATGTTCGTTCGTATTCCTCACTCGTAGATTATGCTGTTCGTCGTACCTGTATGTCAATCAGAGAGTATACCATTAACCTGCTTATGTTTAAACGAGGAGAAAAGAAGGGGGAGGCTTATCTGAGGGGGCTACAAACTGAAGAAATTGCTAAATGTCCTTGTTCAGGCGTGTGTCATAACCGCTAGAGAAGGGGTGCCATTCTGGCCTTGCACCGCCAGCCTCTCTGCGGTTGCAGAGCAGGCAGAATCCGATTCCGTGCAATGCAAAACGAGGGGGCCGTCTGCAGAACCCGAGAGCCTCCACCGCTGAAGGCTGAATTTTGAGCACCGTGCTGCCAGCAATGGGTTGCACTCCCTAAAAGGACACCAGCTGACCTATATACACAAGAGAGTAACTTTGGTAGGCTTCAACCTAATTGTCAATCTGTAGAACGGTGTTTCTGAACCTCAGCCACTTTAAGATGCGTGGACTTCAACTCCCAGGATTCCCCCAACCACAAAAGGCCGGCGGGGGGGGCTCGGGGTGGGAGTGCACCCCCATTATAATAAGAGAGGAGTATGTAAAAACAAATTTAAAAAAAAGATA